TTTTTAAATTTCATCTTTTATTTTTTCTATTACCCAGTCGTTTTTGAGGAGGGTGTTCAGTTTGTATATGTTCGCTCTTTTCCATTGGCCTTCCTATTGTTGGTTTCTACTTTGATAGCATTGTAATCTGAGAAGATGCTTTGCAATATTTCAGTGTTGTTAAGCTTATTAAGGCTTTCTTTATGGCCTCACATATGTTCTATCGTGAAGAATGTTCCACGTGCACTAGAAAAGAATGTGTATTGTGCTGCTGTTGGGTGAAGTGCTCTGTAGTAGTTTATATGATCAAGTTGTTGAATTGTATTGTTTAGCTTTTCTGCATCTTTGTAGAATTTCTTTGCAGTTGTTCTATCTTTCATTGAAAGTGGTGTATTAAAGTCTTCCACTATGACTGTGGAGTCATTTCTTTGCCTTTTCAACTCTTTTAAAGTCTGATTTATGTATTTGTGGTCTTTCATTGGGTCCATATACATTTATTATGGTTATATCTTCTTGTTCAATTAATCATTTAATTATTAAATAATGTCCTTCCTTGCCTTGTATGGTGTTTTTTATCTTAAAGTCAATTTGACCAGAAATTAATATTGTCACTCCAGCTCTTTTTTGGTTGCTATTTGCTTGATATATCTTTTCCCAGCTTTTGATTTTCAGTCTGTTTTTGTCTTTGTCTCTAAGGCATGTCTCTTGTAGACAGCATATTTTTGGGTTACATTTTCTTATCCAGTCTGCAACTCTCCATCTCTTGAGTGGTGTATTTAATCCATTAACATTCATTGTAATTGATGATAAGTATGAATTGGTTGCTGTCGTTTTGTTATGTGTTTTTTTGTGGTGTTCCTGGTTTCTTTGTTCCATATAATTTTCTGTGCTGAGCTCATTATATTTATGAATCATGTTATCACTTCCTTTGTTGCTATAGTTTTTAGTATTTGCTATATATTTGTGCTTCCCCTCTTTTTTATCGTGATGTGAAGATTTATCATTTTTCTTTGAGGTTACCCTGTGATTTATAATTTTCTCCCCATAATTAGAACAGTCTCTTCTATCTTGCAACTCTCTTGACTTCCTCACCATACAGAAATTCTATAGCTACACTATTATCCCCTCTTGATTTGTAGTTATCGTCATTTACCAAGTGATATCTCTGGTTCTCTGTTTACAATCTTATAAACTTATTTTACTTTGGACACTTTCATAGCTGTGTTTGTTCCTGGATTATGTCATCTTGTGTATTAATGGTTGGTTCTTGTTTGTTATTATTGGTTCTCTGTTCAAAGGACTCCCTTTACTATCTCTTGTAAGATTGTTCTGGTTTTAACAAATTACCTTAATTTCTGTTTATCTTAAAATTTCCTTTTTTTCACTATCATATTTGAGGAACAATTTTGCTGTGTATATAATTCTTGGTTGGAAATTTTTCCCTTTCTGAATTTGACATATACAATTCCACTACCTTCTTGCATGTGTGGTTTCTGCTGAGAAATCAGAGCTTATTTTTTATTGGTTGTACTTCATAAGTAACTTTTAGCTTTTCCTGTGCTGCTTTCAGGATTCTTTCTTTGTCATTCGTTTTGATGACTTTGATGATGCTATGTCTTTTGGGGTCTATCTTGTTTGGGGATCTTTGGATTTCCTGTGTGGATATAGTCTTATCTTTCATTATATCAGAGAAGTTCTCTTCCAACAAATCTTGGACAGTGGTTTTTTTTTTTTTTTAATGTTCTGGAATTCCAATGACATGTAGGTTATTCCTTTTGATGGTATGCCACATGAACCTTAGGTTTTCTTCATTTTGTTTTGCTCTTTTATCTGATTGAACCTTTTCCAAAGAAGTATTCAAGTATTTGTCTTCAATCTCATTAATTCTGTCTTACATTCATTCAGTTCTATTTTTTTGCCCTTTCATTGTGTTATCTGTTTCTGACAATTTAGTCTTAATCTTCTGGATTTCTATCTGAATCATTTTTTAATCATTTTGAATCATTTCTAATTTTTCATATATTTTGTCATTTTGTTCTTGTATTTTCTTCCAAAATTCTTCTGAGATTTTGTCTGTGTGTTCCTTAATTTTTTCAGTGTTTTCCTTGATTCATCTCTCAATCCTTTGAAGATACCTAAGTATAATTCTTTTGAATTCCTTATGAGGGAGTTCCAATGCTGCTTCTTCCTCAGGGTTTTGTTCTGGGTCTGTATCCTGCTCCCTTGTTTCTACCACTTTATCTTGCTTCTTTGTGTGGACTGTGATGGTCTATTTTCCCCAAGACATTGTAATGTTGTCATCTTTAGATCTCTGTTTACTGTTTGTGAAGACCAGTTATTGGTGAGTCAGCCTTTTCTTGGTGGCCATTTATCATTGACAAGTTGGTGGAGAAAGAAGTGGGGGCTCTCACTCAGTAAGTGAAGATGCAGGAGGTGTGGGTATAATTATGCCATATGGGCACTGTTGCTGTCTCCCACTCAGTTAGAGAAAAACAACAATCAAATAACTTTCAAAAAAGTAAAAGCAAGGAGTCAAAAAGTACACCATATAAACACACAGGAATAATAACCAAAAAAAAGGGTGAACTCTGCAATATCTGGGGAGATGGCAATAAGAGCAAAAAAGGGAGAGTAAGAGAATACTGAAGAAAAAAAAAAAATGTGAAAAATGCATAAGGAAAAACCAGGAATAAAATTTACCACGAGAAACAAAAAATGGGAACCAAGAACAGGGAAGAGGGAATAAGCTGAAAATTAGAACCTAGGAAGAGAAGAATAAAGGATAATAATAAAAAGGACAATAATAATGATAATAATTTTAAAACACACTAAAATAAACTAGTTAAAAAACAAATCTGGGCAGGATGGTTCAAAGCACCCAGGCTCCTTCTGAGCACACAGATTGGGATGGAATTCCTGCTGGCTCAGAAGGTGAGTGGGAGTGAGGGATGGCTGCATCTCTGTTCACCAAGAGGGTGTTGGGTATAAGAGTAACAAGGGGAATATTACACCTCTCCAGTCGTTGGCATCTGGAATGTCCTTGTGGTTCCCAGCAAGTGGAACCTATTCTTAAGTCCCTGGAATCTGGGAGAATGCCATCCCTTTAAAGATCCAGAATGGTTGAACCCCTTGTAAACATTCAGAATGACTGCACCCTCCAGACAGGCAAAACTCCACAGCTCAGCCTGCCTTTCTCTTCTCTGGTTCCTCTTTTATTCACCAGGCACCAGTGTAGTTCCCCATGCAGTCCCACACTAGAAGTACCATTTTTAGGTTAATTTTTAAGTTCTAATGCCACTTGGCAATATCCGAGCTGTTTGTACCATCAGGATCACTGACAAATTACAGCTCTGTATGTCTCCTTTTTTGGTGTTTTCATTCAAGTTCTTCTATTATTTTGATTTTAGTCCACACCATATCCTTCCCTTCAAAGGTCAGGGCTCCAAGATTATCTTCTGTATCGGTGTTAATTGGTTCCCCTTTTCTTTGTTGAAGCGGGTCTGTGTACTCTGTGTGCCTATTCGGCCATCTTAATGGAACTCCTCAATACACTATTTCTTTAGGAATGTTAATACTACCAAATCTTTTTCTAGTAAATCCTCTTACTAGTAGCCCTCTTTTCTTGGTGATATTCTCCTTCTAAAGTGTCTTTTGCATACACCTAACCTAATGTATATACTTAACCTAATGCATTATATTTTAATCTTATTAAAATTGGAATTATGGAAGTTCTTTCTGCTACCTCCACTTATTGCACATACTGAGGGTAAATGATATTTGCTAACAAGATACTCAGACATGCTTTGTATGAAAATCTACATGATTTGGCTTTGGAGTTAAGTCTGCACTAATCTTTATTTATAATGCCTGTTGTGCTTGTAGCCAAAATATATTTATCTGTGATAGTATTCCAGTCTTCTAGTAACTTGCATTTGCAAACTAAAGTCAACACTCTGTCTTTCCTTCTTTATTTCTTAATGATTCTTTTTTCACAAGTATAATGTTCTCCCTCTGTAATGCTAATAAATGTCATTTGGGAGGCAGGGAGTCATCCACACAAAAAATGGTCACTTATTTTCCTATTACTTAGCTACAAAAGAGCTTTTATGGTTTGTCTTTACATCCTTGGTAACTTTGCTCTCTCTCTTCTGTGCGTGGCTTACCTCCCCTTAAAAATTACCTTTGATCATATAAAGGAGCAAAGCTTTGCTTCCTCCTTCCCTGAGATAAGGATTCAATTACAGGGAAAGGCAGGCCTGCTTGTGGTGAGATGTTCAGTATAGATGACCCAACAGCACAGCAGGAGGCCCATCCTAAATGTTCATGGAGGAAGGAATTCTACAGTAATTTAGCTGCCTTTTGGCAAGTCTGGGATCACCAGCATAGCCAGGGCACTTAGACGAAAATGCTTAACCAGAGAAGGGCATGCCCAAAAACTTAGAACAAATTGTATTCTTACTGCACACATATGCTCCCACTCATACATTAAAAAAAGAAAAACAGAAATAAGTCAATTAAAACTTTCGATTCCTCTGTTTTTATTATCAGAACTTAATATTTAACTTCCATTAATATACTAACTCGATGGATTGTGAGCAAGCCTCATTATCTATATCTACAAATATCTGTATGTCTATCAATCTATCTATCTTATGTTTGTTATAAAACCTGACAAATTTACTTTAGAGTTTGAGTTACTAAAATAAGCATTTAAGTAGGTAACTAGACAGATAAGTAAATAAATAATAACAATTAGCTTGCAACAATTACCTTCCCTCATTTTGAAAATTACTATTGATATCTCATTGCAAAATTATTTCAATTCAAAGAATGTTGTCTATGCCTTAAACATTTCAAGAAATGGTATGTTTCTATCTTAACCTAAATGAAGAAATGTGCCCTTTCAATTGTGTACCAGTGACTTCCCTTGTGTACTTCAGCAATATAAGGAACTGTGCCCTGTAGGTAAGAAAGTTCCCTATAGCCCATCATGGTAAAGGATGGGTAAAGTTTAAACCTACCCAAGTTGAGGTACAGGACCAGCATCCCCTTCTGGAGCTCTAGGGTAATGTGGTCTCCACGTTGACCTTCTCCATGGAACAGAACTCCATCCTCTTGCATGCTCTTAAACTTCAGGGAAATCACATCCTTGAGAGTGCTCATTAGCTTCTGATTGAATCTGTATAGAAGGGAACTTCGGCCATCAAAGTCAGCAACATCTGATTCTGGGTGCAGAAAGAGAGGGGTTGGAGAGAGAAATCATCACATATCCTTGTGATTGCTCTTCCTGTTCCCTACCTTATAGTTGTCCGACTCATAAGAATGTTCTTGACATTAGAAAAGTCCTGTCTCGACAGTAAGCATATAGAGTATACCCAACACAATTGGACTCAGGAAATTTTCATAAAAGCAATCACTAAACACTGAGTCATTCACCTAAAAGGAAACATTCTCATTAGTGATAAGTCAGCTTTTGCTTGTAGGAACAAGGTGAAAATACTATAAGTAACTCATGTCAGTCTCCATGGTGTCAGATGCCTGGTTTGTAATCATCTCTTAATAACTATCTCCCTTTACTTGATACCTTATTATTAATATTATTTTTCTGATCATTGTAACCACATGCTCCCCTCATGACAGGCTCAAGGTTAGAGACAAAAAAATAGATATGATTTATTATTCCAACTCTGAATGAACATTGCCCTTTCCCTAGAACCTTCTATTGAAAATAGTACTGAGATGTCCTCTGGATTAAGTGAAAAAGAGTTAACCAGAGGGTTGGAGGTTCAAATCTGCCAGCCACTCCATGGAAAGAAGACTGGGGAATCTACTTTCATAAATATTGACTGCCTCAGAAACCCAGAAGGGGTCATTATTAGTCAGAACCAACTTGATGGCAGTTAAGTTTTTAGTTAGTTTGTTTGTTTGTTTTTAGTAATGAATAACTTGTTATTTGAGCAGGGAGGGTGATACATGGCTACCTTGACACCTTTCCTTATATCATTTATATTCTTTACATAATAATAATGGTTATTCAATATTGTTAAAGTAAAAGAGATGAGTAATTATGATGTAGGTAAACTTACATAGCAAATAGCATATAAACCAAAATGTTAACAAGAACTCTTTTGGGGAGGTATTGTAGCTTATTTTCTCTTATTTTATTTTTTGTTTTTTACTTTTCTTTAATTACATGATCTTTTGTAACATACTTTTATTGCTTTAATAATAGGAAAATATGTAAAGCTATGTAATTATAATTTGAAACAGACTCATTATGTACCATCTTATGTGGGTAAGGTGGTGATGAATGGGTGACTGGAGGGGGTGAGATTAGTCTTTATTAAAATCAAGCATCCAAGAAAACTCAATTTTGCATTACATACCAAGCAATTAACATCTTCAGCCTGAGCATACATGATGATCAATTAAGTGTGTGTGTGTGTGTGAGTGTGTGCTTGAGCAAGGATTTAGACACAACTTTTGTAAAGGCAAAATTCTGAAAAGAAAGAAAACTGAAATAATACCTTCACCATAGTTGTAAGAACACAATTAAAATTTATTTCTATGGAATAAAGTGTTTTTAACCAAAAGGCTGGTGATAATGCCTTAGGCCCTACAAAGCACTAGTTGAGATAAAGAGATTTTCACAAGCTCACATCACTCTCCAAACATCATTCATCCCATTCTCTCAAAGCACACACATGTCCCCTCAGTTGTACTGCTACCAAAGCCAAATGGAGGCTTCAGGCAGCAAGTTCCATAAACCATAAAACCCTGAGGACCACACTATAGGTATAACCATAGATTTACATATAAGTACCCCAAACATTTTCTTCCTTTGGGGTTTCCTAAAAGGAGCTCTTGTAGCATAGTGCATAAAACATTTGGCTGCTAATCAGAAGATCAGTGGTTCAAACCAACCAGCTGCTCTGTGGGAGGAAGATGGAGCAATCTACTTCTGTTTAAGACTTATAGCCTAAGAAACCCCATGGGGGTTGCTATCAGTCATAATTGACTCAGTGACAGTGAATTTGTTTTTTGTTTTTTTTTTTGGGTGGAGTATCTTCAGAGGCCTTTTGCCCACACATAGTATGTGCTGGCATCAGGATGGGGACTTGTGTAACTACATAAACCAGGAGGAAGTTTGTCAGCAATTTGTTGCTATGCTAAAAAGTTATTGTATGAAGTGGTGCATCCTAGAGGAGTGTTTGTCTAAAACTTTTGTTTCTTTGTGCTTATGTACAGTGAGATAAGGCTTGTAAATATATTTATTGTTTCCTGTGTTTTATTGGGGAGTTTTGGTGGTGTAGTGACTAAGGCACCTGACAGCTAACCAGAAGGCTGCCATTTCAAATCCACCAGCCACTTTTCGGGAGAAAGGTTGGGCAATCAACTTCCATAGGGATACTGCCTTGGAAACCCACAGAGGGGTTGCTATGAGTTGGATCTGACTTGACATTGGGGTCACCAGGAAACATGTTAGAAGTATAGAATCTAGATCTTACCCCAGACCTATTGAAATAGACACTCTCAGTGTGGGGCCTGGCAATCTGTGCCCTCTAGGTGATTTGTGCCAGAGTATAAATACCAGGTTCAGTAGGAGTCATGAGGTTGTAGATAGAGTCAGGGGGTCTGATGAAGGTTTTTCTTAAAATAAAGCAAAATGAGTTTCAACTGCATTCTGAGGTCAATAAGGAATTTATTATTGAAATATTTAAAAGCTTGAAAAATGCATTGTCAATGTTGGTTTCTAGAGAGTGTTATGGTTTTAGGAAGGGTGTCTGTATTACCTGCTAACCCTTCCACCATATATCAGTGGAATTAACCAATTTAGTTTTCTCTTGCCAAAGTGGTAAAATCCTAATGGAGTCCTTTTATTTTTCCTGCCATTTGTCAGAATTCTACAATGACTATGACCCTGGAATAGATCATTTCTCTCTCTTTCTGAAAATTGAGATTTTAGGATCTGATTATTGCAAACACAGTGCAATTCAATTGGTGGTTTCTGGAGTTGGTGACACATTGGCAGATTTCTCTAGAAAGTGAGTTATAGGGGTCATCAGGCAAGGTAGGACCTCATAAAGCATTTCTTTTAGGTCCATCTAAACAGCACATACACTTCCCCCATCTCGTTTCAGTAGCAGTTCTCGGGGCTGGCTGACTTCTCATTGGGTCCATAATTACTGTTCCACCTGTCACAGCCCATTTTCTGAGGAATACAGAGTTCTGGAGGTATGTTCTGGCATATTTGATGGATGTTGGTAGCTTGTCAACAATCCAACTTAAAAAAAAGGGGGGGGGGGGCTCCGCTGAATAAAAGACTCCAAGGTTGAATCCCCAAGTGAGTTGAGACGGGCTCTTGTGTGGGCCAATGACAGCAAGTCTGTTTTCTCACAGGCTAGAGCTCAAAGATGATAGGAGAAACAATCTATTCATCCTGTAGTAATTAGTCCCACCCTGGCTCTTTGGTTGTCCACAGTAAACATGATTTTAAGTATAATTACACTGTAAAGATTATCTCCTTATACATTGTATACAAACAATTATATTAATCACATCATACACTTGAATTTGAGGGCTTTGGCTGTCAAAACCACAAACCACAGCGGTTTCTGCAATTAGCTCAAACTTGTACATGTCACCTACAGATTCTGGCACTCTTTCAGGCCTTATCAGAAACTTATGATAACCTTAGGTAAACTATAAAAATGCTATAAATTTCCAAAGCCCAACTGAGGCAATATTTAGGATTAGTTTACCTTTCATTATTTCTGATATTTCTATGTATGATGCCAGGTGAAAAACAAGATGGGTCTCAAGATAATGACATAAAAAATCATCAAAACAGAAAAGAAACAGAGCTCTGAATTCCAAACCCAATTTCAGCAGATAGGCTCTTTGACTTTGACAGTCAGACTTGCCTTATCTTATAATGTCTAGGCATTCCAGATTCCTTAAAAGTATCTCTGAGCAAACTTAAAATGTGTAGTTCAATTGGACTGATCACTAACTGCAAAGATTATACCAAAATAATTAATGACTTATAGAGAACTTGCAAAGTAGTAGAAATTTATATGTTTCTACAACCATAAATTCACTGGTGGACATTGGGCATGTTCTGGACTCTTTTCAGTCACTGAGCCCTGAAATGCAAAGATGATGGCAATGTAGGCCTTATTGAAAAGGGACTCAGACATTAATAACATGAGCACAATAAATGAATCAAATGAAAGATTCAATAAAGTGTAATGTTTAAAAAGTATTATTCACTTGGCTTCTCTCACTAGGCACTATTCTGTCTTTCTTTCTTTTTTTTTTTTTTTGTATAGATATGTAAGGAGGTAAGCATGAACATATATTGATAGTGGAGTAAATTTTACCTATCTTGTGCTTCATTGTGTATCAATTGGCCAGTGATGTGGTAAATTTTGGAAGAGCTATCACTTTGAGTTGCATGCTAGCTTTTTTCTTTTAATTACAAGTGATATATATTAATTGTGGGGAAAAATCAGGAACTACAGATAAACAAAAATAAATAAAGAATAATTTTAATCTTTCTACTAAGAGAAACTACTGGTAATATTTTGGCTTATATTCCAAGGGATTTCTAGGCACATATATATGTAAACATATAAATGAGATCTTATTCCATATACAAATATCCCATTGCATATACAAGTATATGCATATATTGGGAAACTTTGAATAATACAGAAACACACAGAGTAAAATGTTACTGTGCCCTTCACCTTTGCTAATCAAATTCCTTCCCACAGAGCATGCCCTATTAATGTTATAAGTCTCTTTTATGACTTTGAAAAAGCACATTTACATGCATGTATTTAAGTATATATGATGCATTTCTACATGATCCTTTTGTTTTTTAGAAGAGCTCTGGTGGCTTAGAGTTTGAAGCTTTCACCTGCTAACTAAAAGGTTGGTGGTTCAAACTTGCCAGCTGCTTTGCAGGAGAAAGATGAGGTAGTCTATTTCTGGGGCAATTATACATTGCCTTAAAATCAGAATTGATTTGATGACAGTGGGTTTGTTTGTTTATAAGACACATGATCATTTTATGTACCAATAATAAAGAAAAAATGCTGTAAATTAAACTATGATCTCATTGCTTGCAAGATGAATCCTGATTTTAGGTATTCAAAATGGAAGATAAAATGCAGTTTGGAATCTAGATAGATAGATGTTGTTGTTGCTGTTGTTGTTA